GAAACGGTTAAAAATATCAGCTTTCTTGTCTGGTGTAGCCACAAGATTACCGTTTGCATCTTGCAGGGGCCCTACATTGCCTGGTGCCCTCTTCTAGCTCTCAATGTACTTGAAAAAGGACTTTTTGTTGTCCTTGATCCTGGACGCTAGCAGTCCCTACCCTGTTCTTTCACCCCTGAGGGCTGCTCCCCTCCTCCCCAAACTGTGCTGCCCGGCGCAGCCGTCTGGGAGCTGCCCTGGCCTGTGAAGACGGAGGTGAAAAAGGCGCTGAGCACTTCAGCCTCTTCTGCATCCTCTGTCACTAGGCTGCCTCCCCCATTCAGGAGGGGACCCGCGCTACCGCGATCCTCCTCTTGTTGCTGACATACTTGTAGAAACCCTCCTCTTTCCCCTTCCCATGAGAAGGTGTTGATCAGTTTGGGGGTGTAAGCTGAAGCCAGGTGGTGATCAGGAAGGGACATGCTAAGTTTTTTACCAACTCTTCACAGCCTTTCTTAGCTACATGTCTTTAAGGTCTTGGCTAAAATGAGACTTTTTACCTGTTTTCTTGCTGTTTTGGTTTTGCTGCTGAAATGATTGGTATAATCTACCCTGACTGCCCCTAGGCCACAAACTAACATAACTAACTACCTATAATCTAGTGTAGATTATATCCACTATATCATCTAACCCCAAACCTATGGATCCTTGTCCCCAGACACCGACATACGATACAATCTTAACATGTAGGATGGAAGCCAGAAAACCTAGTCAGCCGCGCACCATTGTAACGAGCTGCCTAACGGCACACTCAGGCGGTCATCACCAGGCAATCGAAGGGAACAAGATGTTCAGAGCTCTTTGCTGACTCTGCTCAGCGCTTGGGAGAAATGCCACACATTGCAGCGTCCAGGTTGAGAGCTTTTCTCGAACATCCTCCACTTCCAGACTCAGGAGACATGCAGGCCGAAGCTACAATATGCCAGCTCTCGTCACGGATCGCGCACCTGGAGCTGGGTGAGGGAAGGAGAGCAGCACTGTGCCACTGGGCATTCAGCGTCGTCTTTGTGGCTGTAAATCTAATTTTGGGGCTGCACGTGGCCTTTTCCAAATTGCTGTGTGCCAATCTTTCTGTGCCACTATCCTCTTTCACCACTTTGCTCTTCATCTTCAGGCAGGGATGAGGGAGTTTCCCTCTTTAGCTGATACAGAATGAGCAAAGCTTTTGTATAGGAAAATGTCCCGTAGCCTGTGAGTGAATCATTGGTCAAACTTGACAGGAGAGAGTGGGTCTCCTCACTGCAAGCCAGGTAACGGGTCAGAAAGAGCTCAAGTTTGCTTTTTGTCCTAGTACATGAAAACGTACTAGTTTCCTGAGTGTGAAGGGTTAACGGGGATGCACATCGATTACCCCGTTATGAGGGGTGCCCTCCTGCCTTCAAACCTGATAGACCTGCATGGATCCCAGGGGATGAATCTGCCTTGAAATCCTTGTCCAGCTCTCTGAAAAAACGGGGGTCCTGTGGACCCACTGTCTGGGACTCTCCCGGGCCATCAGTGCCTACAAAGAGGGGATGGTTTGCAGCGTCCTTGTGCTCGCCCTACCCCCATCCTGCCACTCGCCCTCTTCCTTCCCCCAGCACAGGGGGGAAGAATAGACCCCGGCACTGGGAGTGAGGGGAAGGCGTTACGCAGTGCCTGAGCCCCCCTTGGGATTCAGGAGATGGACGTCCACGTGTGAGCTTCTGCTTTGTGTGGACTTAGCCAAGAGGATGTAGGCTAATGGCACTTTTAGGAATGGCTATTTCTGGAGACAGAGGTGAATAGCAGGGGAGGGATATTGCATCTTCGGTGTAGTATCTCGAGGGGCCGCGCGATGGCAATCTCCCCTTATGGGTCTACCCGCAAAACCTGCAAAACCTGTTTTGGATCCTAGCTGTTGGGAGAAGGTGGCTGGTGGCCCCTGCCCTTCTGAGATGGACTTTCCTTTTAACACTAGGATCATTTTCCTTTTGCACTGATGCTTTTCACACACGTGGCATAAATTCCAGTGGAGACCAGGACTTCGGAGTGAATTGGTAAAATTAGAGGCTTTATTTTGCCTTTTCATCCAGTGGCCCAAGAAAGGGGCAGCAGATGGTAACTGGTGTCACTAAGACCCACTGATTTGGCTTTCTGGAATACCCTGAACTGCAGCAAGCTTCTGGGTATGCAGGTTTTCACCTTCAAAGATGGTATTAGCTGTCTCCCTTAGGGGAGGAATCAGCTGGTCCAGGGCAATTCTGATTAGCTGTAATGTTATGTTGTTGTTTGTTTATTGGATTTCATAGACCCACAGAAAAGCAGGGCTGGAAGGGACCTTCAGAGGTCATCGAGTCCAGCGCCCTGCCTGAGCCCGGATCTGCCCCAGGCAAGCCGTTGCATACAAGTCTTTGTCTAAGCTGTTCCTAAACCTGTACAGTCAGCCCTGCTGTACACCTGCAGCACGTATTGCCCAAAGACCAAAGGCACCCCCGCCTGCCAAGGAAAGGCAGGGGGAGGAGGAGGAGGAGGTCAGTGCCGTGCTGCTGCACGTGTTGTTAAACTGCACGGGAGAGATCCAGAGGACCCCCCCCCCCCACTACAGAGGAA